ATTATTTTTTTAAGTTTTGTCGAACTTTGTTACTTCTATTGGAACTACTTTTATAATTTTGTTACATCAATGAATGAATATTAGTTCATCTTTTTCTTTATGCAAAATTTGATTACTTCAAAGTGTTATTACTTCTGTAATATATTGAATTATCTAAGTGTTATAGCATATGCAACATCAGATTGGGTTGCTGATGAGCAAGAATCTAGTGATTTCCTTGATAGGAAATTTATCTAAATGTTGCAGCACATGCAACCACAGCTCAGCTTGCTCATGAGCAAGGCTCGAGTGATTTCCCTGATAAGAAATTTATCTAAATACTGCAGCACATGCAATCTTGGCTCAGCTCGCTGACGAGCAAGGCTTGAATGATTTCCTTGGTAGGAAATTTATCTAAATGTTGCAGTACATGCAACCTTAGCTGAGCTTGCTTATGGACAAAGCTTGAATGATTTCCTTGGTAATAAATTTATCTAAGTGTTGCAGCACATGTAACCTTAGCTTGGCTTGTTGTATTTTTTGTAATTTCTGATAAAACACACGCTTTTATTATAGTTGTGCAGTACAAAATACATTCACTTTCTACTAGTAATATTTCTTAAGATGGTCCACATTCCAAGAATGCAGCAGAGGTCTGCCCTTTATATCTTCCAGCTCATAAGCTCCCTTAAGTAGTACTCTGGTTACTTTGTAGGGCCTTCCCAATTAGGCCCCAAAGATCTAGAGCTAGGTTCTCTAGTAGTTAGGAAACGTTTCCTTAACACCAGGGTATCGACCTCGAACACTTATTTACTAACCTTTTGATTATAGTATTTTGCATTGCTCTGCTTATATACATCATTCTTGATTTTGGCTTCATTCATCATTTCCTCTATCAGATCCAGTTCTCCTCGCAAAGCTTTCTCATTCTCATCATCTTTATATATTGTTGTTCGAGTAGAGGAAATTCTTATCTCAAGGGGATCACAGCTTTCACCCCAAAAGCTAGAGAAAAATGGGTTTCTCCAGTTCTATTCTTGCACGTAGTGCGACAAGACCATAGAACACTGGGGATTTCCTCGGCCCATCTCCCTTTGAAAGCATCGAGTTTTGCCTTCAGCATATGCTTGATGATCTTATTGATTGCTTCAACTTAACCATTAGCTTGAGGATGATTTGGCGTGAAGAAATGCTTCTGTATGCCAAGTCCTTCGCAAAAACTTACAAAGTGGGCATTGTCGAATTGCTTTCCATTGTCCGTCATGATAGAATGAGGTACTCCAAACCTGCATACATTGGACTTCCGCATGAAGTCAGTGATTTTTTGTTCGTTGATTTTAGCAAGGGGTTCAACTTCTACCCATTTATTGAAGTAATTCACCGCAACAATTGCGAACTTCATTCCACCCTTGCCAATAGGCATGTGACCAATTAGATCGACCCTTCATTTGAAGAAAGTCTGCTAGAATTCTTCCCTGGCGTGGAACCTCGCCTAGTTCCATAATCAGGACAATATGACATCGAGCTTCGATGGGATCCCTCGAAAATCCTTGCAACCTCCTAGAATATGGCTGTAGATGTCGTGCTTGCATTCCCATTTGTTCCAAGGTTCGGGAGTACAACACATTGACGAACTTCCATTACCCAGGGGAGTTAAGGTGTATTTGTATGCCAACAACAAACATGGTCATGACCAACACATCACTTTGGTCCTGTAAAACTTTGTACGAATCTTCTTCCGAGAATCCAAACCATTCTGAGTATGACGTAGCATCAAAGTTAGCCTCTGTTCATCCTACATCGTAATTCTGGCAAATATGTGCATCTTGCACCTACCTACGTCTTACCCTTCTAGATCCTTCAATGCACTGATTTCCATCTATGCATGTTCTGATCTCAGCTTGGGGAGGGGGTCCCGTACTCGGGGAGTTGGCTGACCCTGTTGGACTGTTCTCGATTGGTATGATTATCGACGCACTTGGTTCGTCTTTCCAGGTTTGGGTGATGGCCTCATCGAATTAAAGACTCCACCTTTTCTTTTAGGTTTCTGCAATCATCTGTGTTGTGTCCTACCGATATATGGTATCGACAATACTTTCATTGGTTCTTTCCTGCTAAATCATTTTTCTGAGGTGTAGAATATCTCTTTTCCTCTAGTTTGTAGGAAGACTTCCTCCAAGGTAATATGTAGTGGGTGATAGTTACGGAACCTATCCGGATAAGGCTTAGGGCGATCTCTGTCCCTCCCGTCCTTTCTCTTTTAATGATTGAAGTCTTTATCCGCTTTTTTCTCCTTAGCTTGATGTGAGCATTGCGGATCCTCCTTAGCTTCCTCCTGCTCCGACGTGGCTTCTTCTGCACTTAAGTGTTTTTCAGCTCGATTAAGGAAATCTTGATATTTTCGAGGTCCATCTTCATGTACAGATCACCAGAATCTTGTTCTAGGCCTTAACCTAGAAAGAACTGCCATGAGCACGACATCATTAGAGACCTTTTCAACCTCCATGGACCATTTGTTGAACGTACTAAGGTAGCTTTTAAGCGATTCGCTTTTCCCTTGCTTAATGCTCACCAAATGTTCTTTGGGCATGGTCTTAGCTTTGGAACCCATGAACTAGGCTAGAAAAGCTGTGGCGAGATCGTTCTAATTTTTAAAAACCTCTAATGTAGTCTCCTGAACCACCTTTGAGCTTTATCTCCTAACGTTAATGGAAAGGCACGACACATAATGGCATCACTTACTCTTTGCAGCTCGAGGACTAAAGGGATCTCTTTATCCTACGTACCCTGTTAACTGTGGCATTTTTAATTTATCAGGTAAAGGTTTAGCAAGAATGTCTTCAGTGAAAGGGGAATGGCGTTTAGTGAGATATTTCTCCGTGCTTCCTTTGTTTTCCGCTTCCAGATCGGCAATGCACTTTTTTTAAGGCCCTCATTCCAGGTTTCTGCCTGCTCCAATAAACATTTAACACGGGGTTCAGCGCATTCGCTCCGAGGTGTTAGTGAGCAATGAGAGCCCAATCTATCAGACATACTGCCAACTTTCCTGAAAACAGGCTCTGTCATTGCCGGAGAACTCCTGATCTCTTCAGTTCGGCTTCTGAAGGATTCATCTTCTGAAAAATGGAGAGATCTTTTGGTGGGAGGTTGTCTAGTTTTCTCCTTATGTGGGACTCCACCTCGGTTTCGAGTAGAAGAATACGAGTTTAGTTTCGTTCTAATCTGTTGACTACGTGTGTCAACCTCTCGATGGCTTCTCTCATGATGTTCATTTAACTACGTCCCTTTTTAGTATTGTGGGGAACACTCGTTTGTCCAAGAGAAGTGTAGGATTGATTCCCTGATGCTGAAACGTCCTCTATAGTAGTACTTTGTCGCGGGTTTTATGGAGAGATGGGGCTGTTCGTACAAGTTCGAAGGCCCTTCCTCTAGCACCAAACAGTTGACGTCGAAGAATGTATAGACAAAATTCAAACCAACTTAGAATGTAAATGAAGATTTTTATTAGTAATAACTTGTAAATTACAAGAGTTTACTATGAGTGTTTTTCTTTCATTTTAAATAAGATTTTTTAGTATGAAGTCTTGTCCTCCCCTTTCTTGTGGATACCATCCTCCTTTTTATAAGGAAGGATCAGCATGTATATGTCGTATTACTGTCTTATCAACTACAGTACTGAGCTGGGAACTTGTGCCAATAGCTTGTCTTGATTGATTGTTAAGGTCGGCTTCAACAAGTCATCATGAATCTATCTTGCATGTGGCCCCCAATAATTAATGAATTAATTAGGGAATGAAGCTATAACATGTGATTGGTGTAATTAGGATGTGCTAACATGAGCCTATCCAAATGTAATTGAATGATTGGATGTTTTGATAGTGCGTAAAGAATCTCCAATCATTATATCTCCTCAAATAACAACTGTCATCAGTAGGAGCTGTACACAAATACCCAACCTTAATTTAGCATGAACTTAACGCATATAACAAACTGTATTTAATGAGATCGCAGGTCGGATGTCAACAACTTTAATTTAACAAATCCTTATATTTTCCTTCTAAACAAATTTGAAAATATCTATAATGATATATAGTCATTTCTACGCGAGACGTATATAATGACAGATCAAAACATGTTATATAAGGAAAAATAAGAAAATTCGTAGCTTGGAATTTCTAGTTGAATATGCTTACCATTGTAGTTATCAATCTTCTAAGGTTTAACAATTAATTTGACAATAAACAAATTTTGTAAAAATATGATACGTATTTTTCCAACATTGGTTAAACATTGCAGATATATAGTATTTAAGTCTCTGTTTGTCTACCATTATTCCAAAAAATTGTTTGTAACGGTAAGATTTTCCACCACACATTCACCCAATAAAATATTCTACACACAAACCAATAAAGATACTTTACTTTTCAACCACACATTCTTCAAAAAATACTATTCATTACTCTATTTTTCTCCCAATAATGAGAAACAAACACACCCTAAATGAATGAATTTAATAAGAGTAACGTTGAAATATAACTTGAATAAATATAATAACATTTTAAATTATAATAGGAATAAATTTAGTGTAGGATAGAAATATAAAAGTGCTGTGAATATTTAGGATTTAAACAAATGAGTTAAGTAAAGATAATGTTGTAATATAATGATGATGAATATAATTTTTTTATCTTATAATTTTAATAGGAATAAATTTAGAGTGATATAATTTAAGTTGGGACAAAAAATAATTATAAGGTACATCATGGGTCATTCTATCTTTCAAGATGTCAAGACATTCTTACAACCTAGCACGATTGAAAATAGCAAGCCACTTTGTTTATTCACACACTCTAGACAAGGGTGAAGGGACACTGTGACAACAGTGTAAAAAAAAAAAACAAACAATATATGTATGGGACGAATTTATTACGACCCTAGGACAATAAAAGTTAAAGAAAGTCAACTGGATTGGCGATTTGATCCTGTGCAGCCATCAATTCCGATATTTGATTCTTGATACCATGAGTGGAAAATTGGATTGTGTGATCGTGGCCGTAGATGGCAGCGAAGAGAGTATGAACGCCTTGAAATGGGCTCTCGAGAACCTGAAACTGGGGTCTTCTGAGTGTTCGTTTATTATACTCCACGTTCAATCTCCGCCGACTATAGCAGCTGGCCTTAATCCCGGTGCAATCCCTTTTGGCGGTCCCAGTTGAGGGTTATTTTTTTAAAATTTTTAGGTATTATTGGTGTATTTTTGGATTTTGGTTAGTGATTGCAATTGTTGTTAATAGGCAATCTGGAGGTGCCTGCATTCACTTCGGCAATTGAGGCTCACCAGAAACGGATTACGGAGGCTATTTTGGATTATGCTCTTCAAATTTGCTCAGATAAAAATGTTGGGGTTTTTATTCCTTTCTCTCTGTTCGTGTGCGTTTTTGTGTAGAATTGAAGTGCTTAATTTTGTACTTTTCAAAAGAAAGTGCTATGCAGTTTTTTGTCATGATATTGTACATCTTCTATAATAATCTTTTCCTA